ATCAGCCCGTGTCACCTGGAGCTCTGTTAGGCATTGTGACATCAGCCTGTGTCACCTGGAGCTCTGTTAGGCATTGTGACATCAGCCTGTGTCACCTGGAGCTCTGTTAGGTCACCGGCACGGAGAGGGCAGCTCCTCTTCCAGGAGCAGTTCCGCTCAGCTTACTGAATTACGGTACGCAGGAAGGCAAGCCTAACTTTAATGGCTCGGTAAGAGCAGCTGTCTGCCTAATAAACAGAAACCTGTGCATTCACAGGCACATGCACACCAGGTGAGGTTGAAATATTGACCATTGCTGTGCTTTACTCGGCAAACGGCACGAGAACCTGCCATGTGTCACACAGGCTGAGGCTGGTGAGCTGCTGGCACAGCTGCCCAGAGACGCTGTGCGCACCCCGTCCTGAGGGATGTTCAGGTCCAGGCTGGATGGCACCCTGCGCAACCTGACCTGGAGCCTGATCTCGCTGTTGGCCGCAGCAGGGGGTTGGAACTGGGTGATCTGTGAGGCCCCGTGTGCTGAAAGGCAGCCACGTGGTCTCCCCAGAGCCTTCTGCTCTCCGGGCTCAACGAGCCCCAGTCTCTCAGCCTCTCTCCAAAAGAGACGTTCCTGATGCTGGCCTTTCAAGTCCCGTTGCTGATGTCCAAGTTTCGTGCCCATCGCGTGCTGACGCTGTTGTGCCAATCCATGGGCTCAACAGGGAGAACAAAGACACCAATGTCTTTGGGACAGGCTTATTTTATTGCCTATGACAACGTAACACAAGCAATAGTGTTTACTGGCAGCGTCTGTAGCCAGGAGAGAAGCTTAACAGACAAGGCAATAAGCGAGGCAGTGGGCCTACTCATGGCCACGTGAGCTCAGCGATGGAGAAAGGTGCATCACCACCTGCCCCAGCACTTTGCCATCAGCCAGACCCGCAGCCACTGGGGAGCCCTGTTTGCAATGAGGATCTGTGGGGACATGGATTGGGGATGGGAATGGGGTGGGGGATGGGGACGAGGTGTGGAGGGAGGGATACGAGATGGGTTTGAGATGGCTATGGGGTGGATGCGATGGATATGGGATGGGATAAAGGTGTGGGATAAGGATATGGGATGGCTATGAGATGAGGCTGTAGTGGTTATGGGGCCATGGGGCTACTGGTGGGACATCTCCAGATCATCCTAGAGGCTCCTCAGAGCTCCTGGGCCCATCCTCGGAGTTTCCAGATCCTTCAAGGGATCCCCAGGAGCATCCTGGTGACCCCCTGGACATCAAGACCCCACTGGGACATCTCCAGACCCTTCAGGAAGAACCCATGGATCCCCCTGGACCCACCTGGGAACACCCCCGCATGCCCCAAACCCCTCGAGGACATCTGCAGATTCTTCTGCATGACTCCAGGGGTGGATAGGGCTGGTTGCGGGAGGGAGAAAAGGGGCTAGCGAGGCTTCTAGAGGTGGAAAGAAAGTCTGGGGGTGGATAGGGGGTTGTGGGGAATCTACGGGGGGAAAGGTGTGAGTGGGGCTTCTGTGAGCTGGAAAGAGGGTCTGGAGGTGGAGAAAGGGTGGAAGAGGGAAACTGGGGGATTGTGGTGGGCTAGAAGCCCTGTGATGTGGAAAGGGGACCTGGGGGTGGAGAGGGGATTGTGAGGGGGAAAAGAGGAGAAAGAGGCTTCTGTGAGTGGAAAGGAGGGTCTGGGGGTGGAGGGGTACATTGTGGAGGGGAATATTGTGGAGGGCAACTTGAGGAGTTGAAAGGGGGAAAAGGGGTTTTTGTAGGGCAGAAAGGGCAGGTCTGGGAGTGGATGGAGGATTGAGGAGAAAAAAAAAAGGAGTGGGGTCTCTACAGGGAGGAAAGGGGGTCTAGGAATGGTGAGGAGATTGCTGGGGGCTTCTATGGGGTGGGAGTCTGGGGTAGACCTCAGGGGAGTATTTGGGGGGAGAAGAGGGGAGTGGGGTGCCTATGGGGTTGGTAAAGAGTTGGAGGGGTACTTAGTGGGCTGTAGAAGGGAAAGGGGTGAACAGAGCCTCTGCAAGGCAGAAAGCGCATCTGGGGCTGGAGGGAGGAAGGGGTGGGAGGA